GCTTCTAGTTAGAGTGGCTCAGGTTATCCTGATCTATCTCTATAGTTCTGCTGCTATAGGCTTAGACTGCTGGAGGACATAGGGGACCCTTATGTCTCTCTTTAAGCTCTTTTGGCTGAAATCAATGCTCTCTTTTTTTCTACTGGTTCTGCTGGAGGTTCCTTCCTGTTAAAGGGTAGTTTTCCTCTCCACTGTTGGACACGCCCCTCCTCTGCATAGCCAATGAATGGATGTGATCAGACGGGTTTCCTTAGAAAACTGAATTTGATAACCGGATCAGTGTGAAATATTTGGATTTTTCTGTATGATTTAGTTTGTTTTATTGAAACGCGTCTGACTAACACCTGTTTAATTCCATTAAATCAGCTTTCTTCTTTATATTTATATCTATTTGGACCATTTTTCCCACTGATGGTTACCGGGTTACAAACAGAAAAACTAAAAATCCAAATGGCTTCTTTTTACTTCTTCTTTATGTCAAGATAAGATTGACTGATTGTTGCAGAACAGACTTACTTGAGGGAAAGGCCTTTAATTAATATTTTTTTCCTTCTTACATCATCTGTTGCTAAGCAGAGAAAATGTTTCTTTAATTCCAGCCCCTCCTCTCTCTTCCTGCATGTCCGCCATGTTTAACAGCTGCTTTCCTTCAATGTTCTGCAGGTGAAAGTGGTGACCCTCCAGCCGGACTGGGCTCAGACCGACCTGTACATCCTAGGACAAGCCGACCACTTCATTGGGAACTGCGTCTCCTCCTTCTCCGCCTTCGTGAAGAGAGAAAGAGACGTCCATGGCCTGCCGTCCTCTTTCTTCGGTATGGACAAACCAGGGAAGGTGAATTCCAAAGACGAACTCTGAGAATTATTCTGCTGCTAGAAGGATCAGGAGGTTCTTCCATGTGAGACGGGTTCAGTTTGACCAGAAGCAGCGAGGAGGAAAGGCTGCGACGGATCTGCTGCCGGTTTAGTCCCGTTTCTGATGGAGACATTAAAGCCGGACTTTAATGAAGGCCGACCAGGACAGTCTGGCTGCTGAGGACAGATGCTCGTTGTTTTAACGGTTGATATTCTGCCATCTATTTTCTCTCTGAATAAAATGGATGTTTGATCCAGCATGAAACATCATTATGAACAAACATTGTGAAGCATCGATACTGGAATGATTTTTCTCTCATCAATTAATCAGTATTTTTCTAAAAGCTCCTCTTTTCATCTGATCCTTTTTTATTATTTTAGAGTTTGAGAGCAACACACAAAAACCTGCAATCCTCCCAACATTCTATGGCGTGAATGTTGCTCCATTATTGTTGAAGCAAAGAACACATTTTATAAATGGAAATTGGAAAAAAAAAAAATCCAGAAATTAAACCTTTTTATATTTAATCCAAAACAATTGGAAAGTTTTGTTGTTTTTTTTCAAATTGTATTTAAAAAAAATTTTTTATAGATTTTCAATTTTTTTTTAAAAATTGCGTTTTAGATTTTCTGTTCTTTTCACTTTCAGCCGAGTAAAAACACTTGCTCTTTACATCAGATTGATGGCGGCTGCTGACGTTCCAGTGGACCAATAGAAATGCTTCTTTGCTCCAGAGGAAAGCCCGCCCCCAGAGGAAATGCAATTTGGAAAGAAATACATAAAAATTCATGTGAAAAGTAGGAATGTGAAAACAAATTTCTAAAAGGAAAAAAATATCTTTTTAGAAAAACATTTGAAAGAAAAGGAAAAGTTCTCAACACAAATTTTTTCATTGATTAAATCTTTCAAATCAGTCTCAACATTTTATTAACATTTTTTAGATTTATTACCTTTTATTTCCATATTCAAGATTAATGTTTTCTTGCTACAAAGAGAAGAAAATCCACTGTGACTCCCTCCAGGATGAATAACAAACAAGATGTTTACTCTTAGTCAGCATTTAGTTTAACACAAGTGTCATCAATGATGCTGTGAGAACTGTACAAATGACATAATTTAAATAGAATAAGGCATTCTCGTGAAGAATAAACAATGAAACAGTTATACAAACTTTTCCTTGTTTACCTCATTGGCCGCATTAAATTGAAAGGGGTTAATAAAAAATACAGTTTGCAGCACCGTCCTCTACATTGATGTGCAGAAAAAGTCTTCACTATGGCTCTGTTTGAATTCATTGGCTGCATCCTCCAAGGACGCGGTCTACCTGGACTGGATCCTTCCAAGTCCTTGAAAATAAGGAGACCGGAAGAATTTTAGCTGTGAATTCAAACAGGTCTACCCTTCGGCAGGTTTTACAGCAGTAGGCTCTGTTGCTTTGCAACCGTGAAAGCTAACACACAAAGCAGGAAAAGAAGGAATACTGAAGTTTTCAAAACTGTTTATTTCTTTTTTATTGAGTGGAATAAA